TTTCCAGCAGTTACGGTGACATTTGACCGGGTTTCTTGAACGGTTGCTCTTAAAGAGGTAACAAATGATTGGAAAAAAGCAGATAACGTCGCTAGAAAAATGCAAGCCGCTCGAGACGGGCCATCAGAGCGACACTACCCGAAAGTGAAAGATCGTGAGTGGTACTAGAAGTGCGTAACAAGGACATGTCTCTAACAAGAACAGCTATTTGTGAGCAATTGGAAACCAGGTTTGACGATAAAATCGCTTTCTGAGAATTTGAAATAAAGTCGTATGGGGGAGAAAACCTCTGAGAACGAGGAGATTCGGTGCAGATGCCACAGACAGCTGCGACTGCCTTTTGTAATCGCGCGCGCGCGACTTCGTTTTTCAGATGGGGACATTAGTCATCGCGGAAAATATGTTGCCATATGAGAAATGATCAAAACGACTTTCTACAATCTGACACCTAATGATCAAAGCCCTCGTGGGAGGATGCCGTTGGCTGGTTGGCAGTGAACGGACGGAGGACGGCGCGCAGCCATCGCGCTGGTGACGCAGCCGTCGATTCGAGCGGTTCCTTTGTTAGCAAACAGTGCACTCTCCAGTCGGGCAACAATAAACGTGGCTTGCTTGAGAATCGTTTCAAAACGGTATAGAATCATGTCGAATACTCGATAAGTCTAGACTGAATGGTCAGCTTGAACGAATGACGCTCAACAGTACACGCGTAGCACTGCCAAGCAAATGCGACTGCGCACGCCCGCAGGCGTTCCTTATAATCTTCCCCCTCTCGCCGTTTACACGTTCCTTTCATGGATTAGCTCTAATCCAGCATCACATGGATAGGATGAGATCGCGTATCCAATCCTTTTGCACCTTGGGGATCGCTTGCCCGATTGTTGATCTTGCTCCGTAGAAGCTTCATTTCCAAATGTATACTTCTTGGGTTTAAATGATTCAATTATTGGCACACGCTTGTCGTGCGGGGTAGAATAAAAAAGGATAAAGCATTTGCCGTTGATCAATCCCTTTTTGGGATGCGGCACGCATTCTACTTCCATTTGTACATTCGCAGTGGCATT